ACGTATATATATCAAACAGTGATTCCGGTGATTTAGATCGATGAATTATGTGTAAAAAAATGAAACAAAAACTCAAAAATACGAACACTATAAATTAAGTAGCTGTTCGCCGAACGTAAACAATATACAACAAAATAGTAATTTATAACAGAGTCGGACACACATGTTTACTTAATGAAGAAAGACGACCCCCTCCCCTTTATGCACATGTTGTGGGGTGTCCCTAACTGTCAAACATATTCTTACCGAATGCAGAGTTCACTTCATGGAAATCTTCAAACTTCCGATCACCTAGCAGAAACGTTAAGCCCCGATCCAGTCACCATCATTAAGCTCATCAGAAAATGGCTGTCGGCAACTCATTTCATCAAAATACTTCAACGTGAATCCACAAACCTCCACACTTCAAAGGAACTTATTGAACATATAAATCTATTCTTTATATTGATATTTGCTTGTATAGTTTATTTAGTTTTATTTCATTTATACACTGACAAAAAAAATATTTATTAATATGGAGGCATGCTCACTATTGTTTAATATTTTACATAAACGCATTTATTCAGATCTGAATTTTGGAAGATTTAAGTTCTCTGAAGAGTGAAGACACCATATTTTCAGATATACTTAGATTCTGCAGGCTACTCCACTATATATGAGCGTATATTCTAACGAAATAAAGTGCCACTCAAAACTCACATTTCTGTTTATTTATCATTTCAATACTCTCATGAACGTAAATATTTTATGCGCGTTTTCGGTATCTAGCTTCATTTATTGCAGCTGCTTATGGTTATAAAGGCCTTCGGAAATTCGTCTTTGGGGAGGGCTGTTTATACATAAAATTTAACATATTTTGATAACTTGGTTTAACTGGATTTAAGATTCTGAGCGGAACGATGAATGTGATTTTAAGAATATGAATGTTTTTTTTAAGTTTTTATTTGTTGCCCGCTTAGTATGCCACACGGCAAGTAGTCGAAATAATGCAGCCTAGCCTAATTTCATTTAATTTCACTATCTTAGAGATAACTATTAATACACCTACTGAAACACAAAAAACACATATTTTACAGTCACTTTTATTCGCCAGGAGTGCAAATACTACATATGGGAAGATATAGCGTACCCACCTATGAAATATCTACACATATTTCTATGATACATGTTCACGCAACACGGTTTATGATAGGTAACCGAATCCTATCTCATCATCGATTCTTGAATAATATCATTATATATTGATCGGGTATATCCAAACAATTACATCATCACATGCATAATATACGTGGAATTATATTTATTATGTACATAGTAGGTATTCGAAATTCCAACGGCGCGATGCAATCGCATTGGTTCATTTGGTTTTCGATTTGTATGGAAACGTTAATTTTTTTCACGAATGGATGCTTTACATTTACGTTAACCAATCAAGTTTAGTATGTGAAATGTACACGAGGTATGCAACGCGGTATAAAATCGCTATCCGTCGGTATTATATTAGTCGTTCGCTCAGAGATCAAACGTAACCAATTACCACCGACTTCAATAGGTACCATAATATATTATATGTCGAAAACTCGGTGGCAACGATTCGAATGGATCGGCCAGATGACCAAATCAAATACAATGCATCCAATTAAATTAAATTATTAGAGCCCCCCCCCCCCCTCCCACAACCTAACAATGGCGAGGACTGATATTTAAAAATAAAAACCTGATGACGATGAGAGTTTCATATTTGTCATCATTTCAACAATAGGTACTTTGCATTATTTGTTTGCATCTATCGTAATAATCATTATAAAATATATTACATAGATACGCCGATCATATACCTTGATAGTTCTTAATAATATGTATCTTTTGTTATTATTTATTATTGAAATAATGGCAGGCAGGTAGCCGGTAAGTATATAATGCGTTTCACGAAAATTTGGAGTTTATTATGTTTATTATTTTTGCCGAGAAAATATTTTAAGTGCTTTTCTATAGAAATACATTTGCAGAGCAAAATAATAAAATCATTTTTATAATCGTTTTTAGATGGGTGCGAAAAACTTTTGGATAAGAATGGATTGCCCAGAATTCTACCAAACATTTTATTTGTGTACTCGTACTATTAATACCTACCCGTATAGTGCATACTGGACAAAAAAGAATTTCCACGGTTGATTTCCAATCTTTCAATCACACACGCAGCTGCATATTACAATACGACATGAATAAAAAACGAACGCGAGAAGTCCACTTTATCGTCGTGGGAAATCCAAAACATTTTAACCACGTATTAATTATTTATTAATATGTACGTTACCGAGCAACGCGCCCGCGTAACTGCTAGGTCGCTAAATATATATTTTAAATGGACTCGGAATGCCCTCTGAAAATTCTATTGCAACGGATGGGACGTTATCAGTTGAGGAATCCACTCTTTAAATAAGTGTTGATACGTGGCAAAAACGAATATGGTTGTAGTGGTGTGCCGTTGAAAATAAACCTACCTTTTTTTAATTTTAATTTTTTTTTGGTGCCTGCGGGTAGTCATTATGTATTATTTTCATAATATATTATATATTTTTAAATATTTATTTTTAAAAAATGTATTAGGTTTTTTTATTTTTTTATATCCAAACTTGTTTTTCTCTAATAATTCACTGTATCTACATGGACTCCGAATTATATATCATGATAAACGTTAGACGTTTATAACGTTCATGTAATATACGTCATATTAGATAATAATATAGTGTTGGGCAACACGCCAAAAACCGGGTAAAACACAAACACAAAAGTCGTATAAAAAAGCTGTTTTATAGGTTTCATAGTACTTAAAACATTATATTATATCGAGTTTTTTTATTTTCTGATGTCCAAACTTGTTTTCTGTAATTATTCACCATGTTTACACGGACTCCTGAAACTTGCAGCTCTGAAATTTCCTGCAATGCAATGAATAGGACTATATCAGTCAAACAATCTGCCCTTGAAGTAAGGGTTGACAAGTGGAGAAAACGAATAGTGGTGGGCTTTTCAAATTATGCCTACATATTTTATTTTACATATACGTGTGGTGGAAAATCATTATAATATATTATTATCAAGATGAACGTTAGACGTTTATAACGTTCATGTAAAACGTTGTATTAGATAATAGTTTATATATCGATGGCCACACGCCAAAAACTGCGTAAGTCTCAAACATAAAAATTGTAACACCAAAGTTGTTTTAAATGTTATAATTTTTTTTAACATTTATTATAATATCAGTGTTTTTTATGCTCAAAGTTCAAACGTATTTTACTATGAGACAATCTACAGCTCAAATATTCAGCACACATTATTTAGTAGGTGCTTTAATCTATAATAAATTAAAATATATTGATATTTCTAACATTTTTTAAAAATAATTCGATTTGACTCGACGAGATAATGTACATTTTTTCCCCCTAACTACATGCACGTACAAATACTTTATAGACCAACTAAAAATCGTTTAAAAATATTTATTTATACATTATTATATATTAGCCACACATTTTATTTAATAAATGCAAGGTTCATAGTGTTCATACTTAAATAATATTACACAGTGAGAACACGTAATATATATATATATATATACATATATATCAGAATTAGTAAATCTGTTCGAATTGTGTTTATTAGGAGGTAAACATTTTATATAAATTGACATTGTAAGTAGATACTAATTTATTTTACTACATTGCATTAATTCCTTTGCACTAAAAATACAACTTGACGGATATCCTAATATTAAATTTGAAAAAAAGAATAAAATTATAGCTCAACTGCTCAAGACATAAACTATAATATCAACCTCGAGAGTGGTGTTATTGAAAAATAAAACAGACGCTCAGATTTCGCTTACTGACATAAAAATAATAATATAATACACCCATATCACGTACTTGTATTCCCTATACTTTAATCGAGCATAACAGTCGCAGGCAACAGATTTTACCTGTGAATTTAAATTTACTCAAAACAATTTTTTTTTTTTTTAGTTTTAATTAAGTATGCAGAGAGAAACTGATTTTATACTATAATTTTCGCACGATTGATATAAATTTGCAAAAAAAAAAACAAAAGATTTAACCATTACAGTCAGACCTGCCAAATCGTCGCTAAACACACACGTGCATATTATTACAATAATATCAGCGATACTCTCTCGTCGTTTAATTAATTGATGATTCGGTCTGGTATCGCGGACTAGATTTCTCGCCGGTTTGAATCGTGGAGCAATTATCGCCGGACACAATGAATCGGGCGCCGCCCCCTCGAAACCCACCACCCAGCCTAACCCACCGAGGCTGACAAACTGCCATCGTCGGGTGTGCGTGCGTGGGTGAGTTGTATTATGTAATAATAATGTGACGACGACGGTTGCGGACGGAGACCGTGACGCCGTTAAGAGTTCACAGGTCGTTAAATTCACCACCGACTAAGTTTGTCGAACGTTTCAAAGGATTATTAACGGCCCGTCGGTCGTCGCGTGCTTATCCCTTATACGGGCCATGTTGTTATATCCTCTCACGGAGGTGGTGCAATGGAGGCAGGTAGATGTATAGCTACACACACACTACACCTTTTGTCGCAAACGCGACGAGTCAATTATTTCGAGTACCGCGGTCTATATAATATATATATATATATATATTATGAACGTACTATGTATATTATATGTCAGTGGTTACATATTATATACATAAAGATAATACGGCCGGTATGATGCTTAGGTAGGTAGGTAATAATAATAATGTGCTCAGTGCTGGCAGTCCTAGTCTTGACAGTGATTTTTTCGCTCCGTTTTTTTTCCTCTTGATTTGAAGTGAATACTTACTTCATAGGCGACAGTGCCGAGCGTTAAACCCCACCCTCTCACTCTAGCCTACTTTGGTCTACTCCAAGAGCTTCATGGTTACGCGTCATGGCAACACTGCGGGCTGCATTAGACGACGTGCGTGTTTATTTCACCTAGTGTTTATACTTATTTTATTCTTGTATAACAATGTTCGTAATTTGATTTTGTATTTTTGTCTGCGAATGCAATTTATAGTATCGCTGTTATTACGTTTGAAGAATTAAAGTGGTTGGACGTGACTGCGATGATCGTTGGATCGGAGGTGATCAATCTACCGGTTTCAATCCGAATGAAGGTATATACTGGTACGCCTACCTTTTGAATTATTGAAATGCATACTTCACAATAGACCGTTTAACACATTTAACGGGTTACACATTTCAAAAACTATTGTTTCTAATTCCGACAATACGTGTCGACGATCATGACGACTTTCATTCTGATCGAAGGCCTCGATCCAGCCTCGTACATGTTATGCAAAATCAGAATATTTTATCCTAGTGAAAATCGAGGCAGTCGTTGCGACGTATTGTTGGAATTAGAGTATAACTAATAGTTGTCATTTTGAGTGAATAGTTGATGTATACTTAAAATGATTTATATTTATTCATAAATTAAACCATTGTATGAGTTTTTTAAATAAAATCATATAATGGTGTAAAATGTACGCGGTACATGGATTAGTGACAATAAGAGTTTAAAATTAGTTTCAATATCTTGATGGGTGCATTGTGCGTAGAAACTTATAATTAAATTATACATGCTTTAAAGATGAATATTGAATCGTTATAAATTGTATAGCTCACCAAATTAAACGTTTAAACACATGCGGATGTATTTAATTATACTTCATAAATATTTTATAATTTAAATCGAGTAAATAATTTAAAACAACAGTATATCATTACTGTATTAATTTGTTACACTAGATTTGTCTAGGGACATCACCGAGTGGTGGCGGAATGCATTTGAAAAAAAAAATGAAACATAAATAATGTGATTGTAGTAGAACAAATAGATAAATGGGAACACATAAAACTCTAAAATACAATTAAACGAATAACTATTGAATTCATCATTGAATGATTATTTAGAGATCACGAGGGGGGATAGCTTTCAAAAGTATAAGAACAAATTAAATTAAGAATATTATAAAAAAAAAAATTGAGAGAGGAACACAATTACTACCATAATTAAATTCTTAATCGATTAAATGGACATTATTAACGATTAGAGCCTTTTTAATAAAAATTCAAATTCAAGTAACGAATATGATTATATAGGTATTATTATATTGTTTTGAATAATATTTTAATAGCTGAAAATTCAATACTTATATTATTTGCAAATATTTTTTTTAAGATTTAATATTTATAATATGTAAGTATAAGATACCTATCATGAAATGCTTATATCAGATATATCTGAGAAAAAACCATAACAATTGTATACAAATATACACGTTAGTTGTTCTAACAGCAGCCTAAAAATACCAAAAATACATTTTTTAAACTTCTGTTACGAAAAAACCATATAGGTACAAATTTCAAGTTTTGATATTTTAATGAAAAAATAACGATTATAGTTCCTTATTTTGTTGTTGCTACCTAATTCAAAAATAAAATTTTGTTTATTATTATCGCTTAAGAAATACAGTGAATGGGTGGAATCTATAAAAAAAAAAAAAAACCATAACAGACTGTTACTAGTAACTAGTTACTATGGATTCATCATAATATTTTGTCATACTCTTAAGTATATACAAACAGTATATTATACTCTCATATATTTTTTCGTATTACCGTTTGAGTTGTTCTAATTAAATATCTCGACTATTTCAAGTTTCAGTTCGAAGGGAGATGACTACGGTTGAAAATAGCCGTCTCATGTCTGGTGGCGTAATGCGCACCTGCATTCTGAATATGGCACGGTGAGGTTTCGCCGGAAGAATCGGTGATGTTTACGCGTAAGTTTGTTGTCATATTATTTTGCGGCTTAAATGTACTTTTTAGTATTAAAATAAATGGACGTTACCCCACCGACAAACTGCTGACGTAGATGCGCACATTATTATTCCCAAAAGCACAATGTATAAAATACGCTCGGCCGAACAATCCAAACTTTGTTTTGTTTCATCAAGCCCAGGTTGTAGAATAAATAATAATTATGTATTAACTATATTACACCTTTAATAACCCGTTATAAACAGGTACAGCACACGGGCGTTCTTTTGCGTCCAGTGAAATCCAACAATCGTTTTTATTGTATTAATATTTTACGTTTACGCTCACAACGCGTATTCTAAACCAAAAGCACCACTTTCACCACAATCAAGGTGGTGTTCAATTATTCTTCGGAGCGGTGCCCCGTAGCATTCGATTATAATATTACGATAGAGTATTAAAATGATCATCTAATAATGTGTGCAGTGCCCTGATTTAATTGTCACCGCCTGTTAATAAAATGATTCACATGGCCGTGTCCGTGTTGTATGTGCTTTTTAGAATTAAATTCTCACATTTGTCGATAAATATATCATTCAATAATTCGATTCATATTCATCATCCGTGTTTTAAATTCATTGTGATTTCGATATTGTTTAAACTATTTGTAAGACTATAAAAGCATTTTAAATAAATTATCAAGTATGAACACTATTAATTATTATATGTGCTATACATGATATCAATTAATAATTATTATGTATTGTATCATATACTATTGTATTTCACTTATTACTGAGTTATGAGTCCATTCTTAACGGCGAGAGTAAAAGTTTAAAATGTATTTGAATATTTTGAAAATTGCATCGATCATAAAAAACTAATAATAAACAAATTTATTATGAGGAATCTTGTATACCATTTTCATGGTTATTGAAAAAAAGTATGTTTTGTCAATATTTATCGGGAGTTACAGAGCGAATAAAAAACGTTCAAATGCATATTTACTTTTAAAAAGCTTAAGGCTATAAAATATTAGCTGATCTCTTGCACTTTGTCGACTGATAAAAATACCAACAATATTATAATATAATCCAAAATGTATGTTCAATAAGACCAGGTGTAGTGATGTTCAAAACTTCCCTATACAAATTCCCGTGGATTTACACCTTCTTAATCTCTATTAAACAATTTATCACAGTCATAAAAAATAATTGTCTAAAATTATATTCAATCAGAATACCTTTTTTTCTCGTATTTTCAGCTTAATAAAGATGCAACAATTTTTAAGACCGGGCAATATATATTTTGTATATTATTTTACTGCCATGTCTTGAAGTTTGATATCTTATAATTGTATACAACTCGTCTAAGCCATCTACACCATTTTTTATTTCATATTGTATAATATTAAAATGTATATGTATATTATAAGTATTATATATAATGAATAAATGAGTCACGATTTTAGAGTACCTTGGTAGATTTTTTATTTTTCAATAACTGTCTGAGTCGGTTTTAAACTTTAATTCCTTGAATATTTTTACAACTGTTTTTCATTTTAGTTATTTGTTATATTTAATATATAATCAAATATACCTACACTTACCTACAACATAAATTAGAAAACCTTAGTTGCTACATACAATGCAATCTTAGCACATATTTGTAATTCGTAAATAATTTGGAAGAACTTGTAAGGGCATGTGATATATTGACAAAATCGATAAATTAAATAAGAAAAAAATATTATTGTTGGTCATGCCGATTTTCATAAACATAATATTTACAAATTTCAAATATTAGTAATGAAATACTCAGTTAAAATCTATTACACGTGCTTCCACTTGTTAATTGTAACAAATAAATTTAGTTTTATATATTGATTAACTAAAAAATTTATTTATTTGTTGTATACACTGGTATTATTAATGCCTTTTTTTATTTCGTATAAACTTTCATGTTTAGAGTTTTTAACAATATGTACTTTTAAATCCGTATATGTTCGAGCATATTAGTGATTATTATCGATTGAGAACATTTGGAAATATTTAAATACTTTTTTTTCTTTAATTACGTAAGTAATGCATTATTTTGGTACATTTTGAATTGTATAATTATTATTATACATAATATTTATATATTTCAAACTTTTAATGCATTTACATATTTTGGGTCTTACAAATTTTGGGTAGAAACTGAAAAAATACCTATTAAGCGGTTATACATTTGAGCTCTTGGCTCTAGCAATTATATTAGCGAATAATTGAAAATTATATGTTGATGTTTGTATTACGAGTATAATATAGTAGATAAGTTTTAAAAATATAACTTGAATGTTTCTATTGTTTTCTATACATCTGAATAACTATCCTACTGATCCTACTTAGTTTATTTCAATGATTAATAAATGGTTTAACTGTTTGAGCCTCGCTCTACCAAGTAAAGTTTGGGTAGGTATTCCAATATGTATTACTATATTTCTAATCCTTTAATTTTCTACAATATATTTATTTATTTTATCTTTCAATCACCTTTTAAATATAACAGTGAAATTACTTAAATATTTGTTTTTTATTGATATGGCGACGACCAAGCAAACTGTTCAGTTTAAACTATTCTGTCTATACTATTATATATCTTACTATATTAAGGTCTTGTAAACAATTTGTTAATACGCTAAATGTTACACATCAAAATTTAGCAAGATTTTTAAGCTTGCATAAATATATTTATAAAAATAATAGTAAAAATATATTAAATATAAAATGGAATGTGGTTGGTATAAGAATTCATTTTATGGTGGCCTGGTGAGAGGTGGTGGTTGGACGCAGTCATCAATGAAGTGATGTGTGAAAATGTCGAATATTGACGGTCGTCGTATACTCTCGGATGGGTGACCACCTGGATTCTTTGTGACGATACCTGCATCACATAAATAGAAGCGTACCAACCGTAGGCCGCAGACAAACCGAAAGCCCATGTTGCCGAGTGTCAAAAAATCAATGTTCATAATATTATGATTAATTTTAAACAAATATTTTGAACCTCTCACATGACATAGTGATCGCTACAAGTTTAAAATAATGGTATTAAATATTTTATATTAGCTCGAATCCTGATGTGGCACGGTGGTCAGCCACAGTCACTAAAATGTTTTGTGGTCAAGCATCATCTGAGTCACTAGCTCCAGCACAGGTGACCACCCAGGTATTTAGCCCCATATACATGTGTTCCATACCAGCCATAACCTCCTTAACAGTAAAATCTGACTAAATCATATATTTTAAATTTAAAAAAAAAATAAACAATAATAATAATCGTTTTTTATAATTTTACTTGCAAGGTGGCAATGCAAAAAAAAAAATAAGTTCAGTGTTTCTTTACATTAAGGGTATTCATCTTCTTCATCGTCAATTGAAGTAAAATGTATAATAGTATAGTTATTTGAGATTAATTTATGTTTCTCAAATGAAATTTCGAAATTGGTTAAAGCAGTAAATATATTTTTGATTTTTTAAAAAAATAATCTACAAGTTTAAATGGTGATGAAATGTATTCATTTTAAAATAGGTAATATAATTGGTTATTGTATAATTTAGTCATCAATAATGGTTCAATATTATTTTAAATTTCTCACGTTAAACACACATCACTTTGATTTGAAAATATTTTTAAATTGTATAATATTTTGTTTCAATTTCTATTGCATGTATCCCCTGTGTTCTATTAAATAGTACAATTATTAAGTATTTTTAAGGTCCAATTAATATTTAATTATTTTTCAGTTTTTTAAGCATTAGGTAATAGATTCTTCAGATGTATAGGTAATTGAGTCAGCCAAGTTTAAAATGAAATATTTCCTGAATTGTAATATTTCATGTAAAGAATCAGAGTGTATACGATAATTTTAATTAGAAGGTTGTAGTTAAATCTTAAAGGTGATACTTCTTAAAAATAAAATTACAATATACTGTTTAAAATAACTATTTTATGTATAGTTTTATATAATGTTATATATAATATTATATTTTATAAAACCTGTGTATCCGGAAATATCGTAATTTAATCAATTATAATATTATTAGCATACATTTAATAGATCTGTATGCACTAATGGCTTCAACCGGATTCAGCCAACAGTCCATAAAAAAATAAAACCTTTATATTAATCATTTTCAAAATATGTATCATGTATTGTTCATTCGTTTTTACCGAAGTATTTGATGGCCCGCTAACAATTTCCAATTTTCTTATGTGGCCCCGAGGCGATAGGTATACAAGTTGTGTTGGGTCACGCCATTTCTGCTTTTGTTTTTTCGTGGTTAGTGGCAACGGCTTGCAAAGTTTAAAGGACGTGGAAAGTCGCTTACAGTGTAACAATAACTTTGGCGATGCAAAATATTATGTGTAAAACCAACGTTATGGGTACAATGCACAATGCTCGTATTATAACAAAAGAAAAAAAAGCACGATAATTATAATTAATTATTTTAAGAAGTCTCCTGGCAAGTAAATTGTCCTTGGAAGGCAATAAAAACAATCACAATGTATGTTTTTAATACCTAGAAATATGATAAAATAATGTAACAATATAATTAATATGACATGCATAACAGCGATTCGGCTTGAAAAGTTTTCCAAAGGGTATGTACAGCAGTAATGCGGGTGTCGTGCTCATATAGACGACGTCGGGATACTTAAAAGATGATTATGGTCTAATGTCGGCAATTACAATAGTTAGCTCGGGCGATGACACAATTACACAACACGTGTTTGCACAAAACGGTGCTCAATAGCGCCGTACAGTGTTAGAAGATAATTTCTTTCAATAATCACATTTTCTAATTCCATAACGGGTGCATCAAGTTTTTCTTCGTAAAATTATGCCCTACTAGGATTGCGACAAGGCGCGTGTATTTGATGAAACCGGACTTGCTCAACAATTTATCGCTTGATGCAGATGAAAAATAATTTGTTTTCAATACTTGGAATGTGAAAGAACCGATTAAAAAAATTCACC